ACACTGGCGAAATTCGGGGTGCAGTTTCGTACATAGGCTCATGAAAGGTTTAATTAATAACGGGAGATCATATATCAAAATAAAAATGGCATTCGTTTATATAAAGGCTCCCTCGACGTAACGATTTCGACCGGTTTCGACCGGAAAATTCCTTTAAATCTCGCGAACTCAGCATGTCTGCTTTTTCTGGGCTGCTGTCTGGGCAGACCAGGCAGACGACCGGCCCTGCTTGGACGTTCCGCCGGTTGCAGTTCGTCGCCATGGTGGCACGCGAAGAAAAGGAAGCACTTATCGAATGGGTGAGCGGAATTTCAAAATTAGGTTAGAACACCGGCGTGTAGCATGCATTAACAACACCTTGCTTGTTCAAATGGTATTTTATTTTCTTCGTCAAGGATTCATACACAGGCGTTTTCGGAAACATTCAAAGTATGTTAAGAAGTCACTAACTCCAAAACGCTATCGCGTTAAAAAAAAAAAAAAAAAAAAAGTTGCTACACAAAAAAAGTGTTGCCGTGACCAGGATTCGAACCTGGGTTATTGCGGCCACACGGCTGTCCGGGGGACGGAGTTGCGTGAAACCGGTACGACTGAAGGAGCTGCCAAAGCAGGTCACTCGTTTCATGCATACGCTGTTCACTTTTCCTTCCATAGCCGCGCTTCCACGAATGCCACGTAGTTGGATCGAGTCGGGCTTCGACTATTCACACGCACCCAGTACCCCTCTTCCTCACTGTTCTACCCAATGGTTGTCCTCCTTTTTCGAAACGTACGCAATTGCGTTAATTCGTGTAGACGGGGGCTTATGCTGGCAGTTATGCGCGCTCAGAAAGGAAGCGCCACATTAATCTAATTAAAAAAAAAAAACGGCCAATTGACTTTTTTTTTTAAAAAGGATGCGCAATTTAGTGCCTGCTACCCTTATGCCGTAGGCGCAGTACGCGCAGTACGCGTATATGCGTACTGCGCGTACTGAAAAATTCGCCAAAAAAAATCATTTCCGCGCGTACTGACAATTCGCAAAAACTTCATTTGGTCACCCCACGAACAAACTTTTTTTAAATTTTTACCATTACAGTTAGCTAGAAACGAATGGTAATATTGTAATCATCCAAGAACCCTCTGGTTTCAGAACTTCTCGTACCACTTATTTAAACACATAGCAACCGTAACACCTGTTCTCTTGCTTTATTTTTTTTTATGTTTGTGTTTTGAATTGATTATGTTGTACTTGCCCCCCCCCCTTTTTTTTTGTACAAAGCCCTATGGCTGCTTTAAGGGTATAATAAATGAAATAAAATTAAACAGGCACAAAGCTTGTACGCGGCGCTCAAAAGCGAGTACCTTATGATGATCTGCGATCATTGTATCGGGGGTTTGAATACCGAATTGTTGATTGTCCAGTGGTCGAACGCAGATTAAAAATAACATAAAATGTACCGGAGCACCTTTGACTGTGCCTCCGTTGCTCGCTTCAGTTGCTAAATAAATGACACGTTCGAGCAATGAACGACAGGCTCCGAGTTGCGGTTTGTCACAGAAGCCCTCACTGCAGTTCAAAGCAAAAAGCTTGCACGAAACGTGCTCTGTGCAAGGGCCTGAAACGATGTGAAGGTCCCCAGTAAAAGCCTTCCAACTTATCGTCTGCTAAACTCTGTTCACTTTGAGATCGCGAACGACTCCATATTGACTCTCGACAACCCTCGTCTCATTGAACCCCATTGCAGTTTCCAAAGTCACAGTCCTCGAACCTCAACAACAAAATATTTCTTAAAAAAAGATTGGTACTCTGACGCTTTCAATATTTGCGCCCAGAATATTAGCTGCCAATCGAGGAAAACATGATAAAAGTTTCATCGTCGGGAACAACCTACTAAGGTAAGAAATATCAGTTTTCCCCGTTTGTTCCAGAGAATCCTATGCATTAGCTTGTGTCAACCGATCGCTGCCGACGGTGCCGTGCGAACTTAGTAAAAGAAGATCCTATCCGTGATCGCGCCAATACTACAATAGAGATCACTGTTCGGGTTCTAAAAACTCGCGACCTCCAATGTTGCTTCATGGCGTTTTGAAAAGGGTCTTTTAAGGTATTGTTAAATTTGTTACGACTATAAAACGAGTAAAGATTTTGTTTATACTTTTTTATGATAACCATTGAAGTTCTAGCACGGTAGAGCAGCGGACTTACAGATGTCCCTAGTGTTACATGAATGTGCTGTATTGCCTTTGTTGTTTTCACCTTGCAATGACTCCGTAGTCACGTGGAACTGTTTTTAAAGCTTTTGGTTTGTTTGTTTTTCACTTAGTCAGAGTGCGTACAATTTTTTTTTTTTTCAGCGGGTGTCCAGCGAATACTTTCAAAAATCCCTAAGAATATTGTGGCTGAGCAAAACAGAAGACTTTTGATAAGAACAAGCTGCCAGCCACAGCGGACGTCAGGGATTGGAGAAAAAGCATAGAAGTTAGCCAAATAATTAAACACAATTTCTAATTAACCTCTTAATTAGTGAAAGTAGACATTTGGTTCCAATCAGAGACATGCTGAGCATCACCGAAAGCCACTGAGTCAGCTCTTTTTGGAAAGATATGCGCCGATAAACTGAGGAAAAGAAGGATACAATAGCGCGCGGAGACGTCAGAACGCAGAACTGTGATTGGACAGATTAATGGGGTGACCCATAGCCTCCTCTATACGAGCCTATGGTAGACCTAAAGCTGGCTGCATTTGTCTCCACTGCACTGGGCAAAAGCGTTAGAACGCGGAACGCCGGCGTCCGACGTTTGGCATTTCGCATTCGAAAGCATTCAACGAGTGCATTGGAGACAAATGCAGCTAGCTTGGTGTCTACCGAATAATTATTCCCCCCCCCCCCCTTTTCTTGTTTTCTTTTCTCCCTCAGTTTCTCGGCGACGCATAAAGCATGTACAACATTTACAGCGTTAAAAAAAATAGCTTATTTTGGGCGCGTTTTTAGGTTTTGGGTTCCTATCGGAGCGCATCTTCGTGCCAGTGGCTCTGGCCCCCCGTGGTCGAGGCGCACAACGGATGTGCCCCAGACTTCTCTCAATCCTACTAAATCTCACGAGGGAGGATTAAGGGAAGTATCACGAGGGACGGAAAAACTGTGGGATCGTTATACGATGTGCGCTATATATGGCTGCTCTTACCTACTTGCGTGCTCTGTGCAGCCTGAAAGCTGCGCGATCTCTTCTCCCTTATCGCTGTGAGCTCGGAGCACACGAAGAAAACGAAACGAACGCGCACCAAAGCCGATATGTACACTGTTTCGTTATCGTCCTACCTTCCATTGCGTTATAAAATAGAGTTTTAGTCATGCGTAAAGGAATGCAAGCGCTGTGCGTCGCCATGCGCCAATCCAGGACTGCAGTTCGAGCTCCGCGCACGCGCAGTGTGGAACACGAAACGCTAACGCAAACGGACAGTGCATGCTGTCACTCGTATACGAAATACCGAAGCCAACTAAAATCGCAAAACGACAAAAGCAACACGAATTACACTTTTTATTCGCGGGCGCTTTTTCACGCGCCGAACAGTCAGCACAAAAAGGATTAGCGCAAAGAACGATTGCCAGGGGGACAGAAGCGCAAGACGTGGCGCTGCAGTCCCGCAAATAGAGCTGGAGAGGTGGTAAATAACCCGACAGTGGCATCAAATACTTTATTAAGATAATTTCTTATATTAAGCTCATTTGCATTAGACTGACAGAGTATTTCGAACTGCTCTACGGGAGTCGCGTAATTTATAGGCCGCATTTGCAAAACGAGCTGCGAGGAAGCGACGAAAACGATGACCAAACGTTGGTCGTCTACGAGCGCCTCCGCCTTCACGCCTGCTTTCCTCTCCGCCACGCGACAACGCAGCGCATGCGCACTTGCGACCAATCCCTGCGGCGGGCGAGGCGTCCATTATTAAGTTGCAAACGCTCCCCGCGATTTTAGATGGACCCTCTCTTCAATCGAAGCTCTCTAATTAGACAGCGCGCCTCCTGCGCTAAATCTTCCCCTAGCGGTAGGGAAACCCCGCGTCCGAGAGGACGCACGTTGCGTCGCACAGTCGCACTTTGGGCTGCCACCAACGCCCCGAGACACCAAATTCGCCGTGACAGCAAAGACGACTGTCTCCGCTGTCTCGACTGGTTTCTGCGACAGTGGACTGCGGCAGAAACCCCTCCTACTTCAAATGAGGAAACCGCCGAGGCTGCGCACCCGTCCAGCCGTTCCAACTACGTGAAAGCTCCCGGCGCCAAAGTCTTTGGATTTTCGCGGAGTAAGCGAAGACATCGACTCTAGGTGTCTTCGGTACGCTGCAACGCCACGTGCGACTATTTTCCCGCTTCGTCTGTCGACCACTTGGGTTAATCCTTTTTAGTTCCCACTGTATATCGGACTGACGTAATGTGTCTTAAAGACACTGGGGGCGCTGCAGGTTTTTGGAATGTAGCGTAACTCTCTCGCAGCAGATTATCGCAATGGTCCCTAATTTCGGCCTTTAAGTATAGCGGAAACCGACCGTTGCCCTTGCAGGAGTTGCGGCGAGCGAGAAGTGAGGCGGCGGTTCACCGCGCATGCGCCGTCGTGTGTATCCCGTGCCCCTCAGAAGTGTACGTACGCGCGAGCTGCGTCGTCGACGTCACCGCGTCGTCTACGTTTTCACGGCAGCTCTGAATCTGCGCTCGCGTTATGGAAATAACGCTATTAACCAAATTCATGCTTCACGCACAATGTCTGAAGGTTCAAGATTATTCCTCCATGTCATATACTCGAGTACAAGATCTGTATTTCGCGAACGCAGAGCGAAAAATATGTCCTTCCCCAAACACGACGCTCCGCAAGTGCTTCGGACGTATTTGGCGCATATGACAATGTAACCCGTACTCCGTAAGTTAGGACTTTGTGACGAAAGCAAAAGGAAGGCGATATTCTGGTTTTGCCATACAGTTCCTCTACCGGACTGGTGTACTGGAAGTCGAACGACTCACATTTTCGAGGATACTTGGGTTCTCAAGGTCAGTGGCGTAGTCGCTCAGCGCTTCATTGGTGGGTGCGAAGACGGTCTGAGTGTAGTTGTTCACCAGCTGTAGCTCCCGTGCACGTTTTAGAGCCTGGGCGAACAAACTGCGAGGAGAAAAGAAGGCAAGCGATTGGCAGGGAACGATGGTCTAGCACCACAGGTGGATTCGTGGGAACACCGATGCGCGATCCGGTGTGAACTACCATTCTGCAGCAGAGATGAAGTAAAGAGTTGCTTTTTTTATTATTATTATACTTCGCTTTAAGTTTAGACGTAGCTAACGCTACGAGCTGATGGCATCAATCAGGCAGAGTCAAAAGCGTATCATCATGGTGTTCGTTGTGTTTTTGTGCGCGTCCTATAATCGCTGATCAACTCATAAGCAGAAAATGTCCAGTGAATTGCGCTTTTGATGCTACTATTTGCGGAGCGCAAGTTCGTCTGCTTCTTTGCAGGGGTGGCGATGATGTCAGAACGCCGATCTCTTATTGACTGATTGACAAAAAATTGTGGGTAGACCTGAAGGCATCTAGCATTGAGGTCCACCCCCTATCCTCTCAATCAAAGCCAATCAGAACTCGGCGTCATTCTGACGTCACCGCAACTCATGCGCAGGAAGCCGACGACTTTCTGTCCGCATTGGTTCCATTAGCTCATAGCGTGGGCTGCGCTTGGACTTAGGGAAACTGTAGTGGTTCTGCATTTGAGAAAAAAACACCTAAATTGACTTTATTTCGTCTCTATGATTACGAATACCAAAATTATAATTCTGATTTATGCCCCAAGTATATACAACAGTGGTCTTTTGAGAGCACTGTTGTATCCACTTAATAATAGTAATAATAATAATAATAATAATAATAATAATAATAACATTCACCATCATCATCTTTGTTTTCATCGATTATGATCGGTGGCTCGAGGAAAAAAATTGCGGTGTGCAGCTTAACTAGCCCTTGGGACCTCACAATGGTCAACCGCTAGCGTGCAGAAGATACCGCTACATAAAACGAAAAATGATGCACACATGCAAACGGTCTTCCCGCCGCCTTTGGCGCGAGGAGGGACTCGGGACAAACAATAGATATCTCAACATTTCCTCGCGTTCCGCAATCCTTAACCGAGCAGTCAAATGCGTTGCACGCGTTCCGTTACATGTGACACGCGCGAGGCAGCTGAAACCTCTGGCTATGAAGTCACACGCACCGGTTGGGTTTTCGCTTTTTTCTCGCGTCTATGTTCGGGACAGATGCTCGAGATATTCAAATTTTCAGGACAAAAATACGCTAAAGTTCACCCATAACTCTTTTTTTTTTTCTTCAACGCGAAAGCATTACCTGTCTCATGCAGCGAGCTGACGTCATCAGATTAAAGCGCGAAAACGGCTTCTAGTTTCCGCGATCCCAATAGCAGCGATTTGCCTTCGGTTCCATTGGCTGGCGCGCGTCGATCGCTCCCCATTGGCCGCTGCGCCATGGCCTCCGAGATCCCGAAGCGCGCGCGCACTAGTACAATATTGACTCTTTTTTCTATCCATAATTTCATTCCAACGCTTACAACAACAACGCACTAGTACGCAGCAGATGACAAAGGGAGCCGACAAGCAGACGACAAAGGGAGCGGACGAGAGGCTTGCATGCTTTCGCATTCACAACTCATAAGACATGCTTAGGTGTACCTCGAGCTTTTTTTTTCAAAAGCGTCTTTAATTTTTGTTTAAAGGCCGACCTGCAGGAGCTTTCTTCTTTTTTTTTGCCAGGATAAAAACTGGTTCTTAATGTCCTCATCTCTATTCACTGTTGCACTCTTGTGTCCTTGTCTCCCCACAGGAGCGGGTCTCAAAACAACTCCAGACCCTTTACAACTCCCCGCAGAGTGAGGGTCTCCCTCTTTCTCGAATGGAAAGGAGGAATTGACGGAGGGTGTCCTCCTTTCCGCTTGTTGGTCGGCCTTTAAGCTGAAACGAAGCTATACGGAGTGCAAGTTTGTCTGCTCCTCGCGTACCTCGTGCGTTTGTTTACCCAAGACCTGGAACCTCCACTGCCGTATACCACAGCCGCTGCATAAGCCAGCACAGCACTCGCGTGTTTCGCCCTTCGGAAAGTTAGCAGACGCATGAGCACGAACACCGAAAAATGTCATCTCGCTCGCAAGTAATCTTTCCATTCTCTCGTTGGCCTTTCAAAAATAAAGCTTCTGCAGCTGTTGCTTCTTCCGAAACGGTAGAACGTTCTTAGGTAAGGCCCGCCGAGAATCACCGGTTCTAGCGTTCGTGAATTTCAAACACAAACTCAACCTTTCGACAAGTTCGACTGTTCTTCTGACGTCACACCATTGCGGTGGCGCTGCTGTCGCATGCAGGATGCGCGGACCACCTCAGGCAAATCTGGTTTCCGCGCACGCGCAGTGCACGCACCTGGTCAAGCGAACCGCGGCTGTTCTTTAACAGCGTGGTAGTACATAGAACATAGTTGCAGTGCCGTCGGACTAGGGTGCGTCGGACTACTGTGAGAGCAGCGCAAAGAACCGTATATTTTGCTTTTGTTAATAGCTTTAGTGAGTCGCTTTTGGAGCGCACGTTCCGAAATCATGAACGATTCAGATGGTCCGTCCTGTCAAACCGTACGCTAAATTTAACTTATTTTAGCGAATCGTAAAGCTGGCGCAACCTTGTAAATGATGATGATTATTGTGTTTGACCGGCAGCGCCATCTTGTGGTAAGCATGCGATACATTCTGCACCGTGAAAAACTGTGGCGGCTCGCGTTTCCAGCGTACAATTGATGTAAACAAGACGGCCGACGTAACATTTAGCGTTCGGAATTTCAAGACCTGCGAAGCTAGATAGAGTAAATAGTGTCTGAACGACAGCGAAGTTAGGTGGAGTGTCTCCATCATCTTGAACTTGAACGATCGTTCACGTTGTGTCATGTCGAACCAAATAATTTCGTCTGCTCGCGGTCGCCACGGCAGCTAGTCAGCCCACAGATCGCAAAAAATTACTAGCACGCGTAGTTTACAGCATTTGCGATCGCTTATCCATGGTGAACTGTCCTCGAAATGATTTGGTTCAGCCTCTCAAATGAAGCAGAGTAACATGGATGGTAAATCGCCTCCCGCTGTCTTAAGCCTAACGCTCGGCTGCGGCGGCGAACAACCCGACCGCCATCTTTTTGATCCGAGTCGTGAACGGTGCTGGCTACGTTCCGGCCGGTGATGACTCCGGCAGCCGAAGAGGGAGAAACGAACGAGAAGAGCCTCCCGAAGACCGCAACTACCTGCGCGCGCATGCGCAGTGGCGTCGCCGATGCGTTTGAGGACGAACCGTTTGTGTGAGCCGACTCGCTAGAACTTCCTATTAGAGAGTGGTTGGGAACCGTTTTTGCCTGTCCCATACGGTACGTTGGGCCCTCCGGTATGAACTGCGCATGCGCTACCGCAGAAGATTCGCGCATGCGCAGTTCGTGCAGGAGGGCCCATCGTACCGTATGGGATCTGCAAAAACGGTTCCCTAAAACTCCCTAATCTCAGCGAGCACGTTTTACTGTCTCAAATTAACAAACCTGAAGCGGTCGTCTTTCTCCAGGACTTCCATGACGCTGCCCTGCGGTGGCTCGAGCACTCGATTGACGACGTGCACCACGCCATTGTGACCTTCCACGTCGGACTCCGTGATGATGGCCGTGTCCACTCCTAGGCTCTGTAGTAGCGACGCACAGGTAGGTTTATCATGATGATGATGACAGTGGTGGCGATCTAAGCCCGAGGATTGAGTCGAGAAGCTGATGCACTCTTAGAAAAAAGGGTACGGATAGTCCTCCCTTACGGGAGGAACGGTCTTGTAACCTATGTTCCTTTAGAAAGGGAGAAACCTTCGTCCCTGAAGCAGGGGAGCAAAGTTCCTCCGTCGCTTGCATCTCAATATGGCGGGCCCCGAATCGAGCAAATCGAGCCCAATAAGGCTTAACGAGGACGCTACGTCTCTTGTACGGAACGAGAGCAGCAGCAAATGAAAGCGTAACACGAGCTTTCCGCAAACTCTGTTTATTTCCGAAGCCAGATTCCCCCCACAGGTACAGAAACCTGCGTTTCGAAAGCAGTTACTCAGTCTTCTCGTCAACAGCACTGCGATGTTAAACGGAGACAACCGATACCCAGTTACTTCGCGCACTTTGCGTCTTACCTTTGGTGTTCCTCGAATCACAATTCCTTCGTCAACCGCACATCACGGAGAAGGGCAAACTCACTCCGCGAAACTAAAAGCCGCTCTCGAAAGAACGAACTCGACGCCGCTCTTTATCGCGTAGCGTGAAAGAAGGTTAAATCGCTAGCCACCAGATGGCGGGGTCAAGCAGAGTAATTGCAAGTAGCTAGGCTAGGTGGCGCTAGGTACCGCCCAATTCATGTTCTACAAAAAACAATTTGCTTTTTTCAGGCCACTACTGCGCCTGAGGACCCTCTACTATACACACATGCAACCCATACACATTATTACAAGCATCAGGTGAACACATGCACTGCTCACACAAATATCAATACAACGGAACACCACACTAACCCGAACACTACAACCGTGCTCTGCGTTTCCGTCTTTTATACTGGTCGTTTTGAACGTGCGGAACTTTTCGGTGACTCCCTAAGCAATAAAAAATATTCCCAGCATGTTGAATTTTTCCCTGCAATGTCATACCTCTGAGAGTATTTTGAATGGCTCAGGGGTTGAATCTCTTATTAAAAAGTAAACACTCAATCATGCCGTAATCATTTGAAAGCCAATAAATCAAGCCGCTCCAATGCGGTTCGAAGCCATGAGTTAGTTTCCCCACACGGCACGTCGTAGCTTGTATTTCTATTTGTTTTTCTATTTGTGCTGTTCGCGCAGAGCTGCAATTGCCGTTTGAATTAATCTCTGTAGAGCGGATATTCAGTAGCTGGAAGTGATGCTTCACGGACTGAGAAATTGCTTTTCGATCAACTTGAATGTAGTCAAAGCCGCGACTTGCGGCAGGTGTAAGTGTACGGAACTACGCCGTGGCAAGCCCGAAAACTTCTAGCGCTCATCCCAGCGCACCACGGAGGGCAGTTTCTCCAGCAACCGTATAATTAAACAGCAAAATAAAGGGTAGCTTTTTTTTCGATTTTACCTACTATTGTTTTTAATGCCGAAATTCCATACTGTAAATATACGTACTTTACGTCACGATTTCGTACTGTTCAGTCCTTCCCCTTGAGCACAATCGCTGTCGGGGACGAGACAATTCCGACAGTCACATTGGCCACTGTACGATAGGAGCTTCTACTGTTCAGACCATGACTATCCGCACGTTGATCGATTGCACGTAATCCCTCAAGGGGTATTAAACTTTTTAATGTAAAGCGGAATGTCAACCTGCGACACCCCGCCCCCTCCGATCACAACCCGACCAGCGGCATCAATGCCCAACAGTTTACGATCTTATCTTCTTGTTACACCACTGATACGCGAACACATGGTCACATCGGCGATAATTCCAGTCTTCTGTTCACAACCCGACACTGTCATAACGATGTTGCAGCTATGTTGCTGACACGCACAAACACAAAACCACGTTGAACGCCGGTTGCACTCGGCATCGGAAAACAGAACCAAACTCAGGGGGGAAGGCACCCAGGCAGCCGGCAGCAAAACCTGCCCGTCTCGGACGCAGTTCCTGCGGTTTCCATAACGTCGAAAACGTCGACACAGTTCAGCGTGCTTTCGCTACTGTAGTCTGTAGTGCTGCAGCCTGCAGTGGCTGTAGTTCCGTGCCGCGCGAGTCACGCAATCCGGAGACGGCCATCCCCCAGTGTACGTGGCGCTGCTGGCACTGCTCCGGGACTTCGCTGTTTCTAGCGGCTTCGTTTGCTCGTTTGATAAAATTAGTGATAAAAATGTCAATGCAACCGAAATGTTCTGGACGTTTAAACTAGAAGACGGAATTACAGGCGGCCTTCGCTGCTGCTGAAGCTCAATCGACTCAACAGCTATTTATTAAACAACGTGCGCGACCTGCTCGAAAAACGAAACCGAAAGACGATGAGTCGGGAGGGCGAAAGCTTCCTCCCGTCTGCCTGGAGAAGGAGAAAAACATTTCGTTCCTCCCCTTTTCTCGTGTCCGCTTGGAGGCGCGTCGGTAGAAGGGAGGAAGGCGCGCCGTTGCTACTTTTTTCCTCCCTTTTTTCTTAGAGTGTGACGCGCTCGAACGGGCTTGAAGCTCACTCACAATCTTTTCATAACAGAACCGTTCACTGAGAGTTTGGTTTCTTAATTAAGGGGATTTTTAGTGTCTGACAACCACAGCAGCGCAGTCTGACAACCTGGGCATGGCTACTTCCGACCGCCATTTTGGGGCTCTGGCTCGGGAATTCTACGCGATTTTTCGGGAATAAAGGAGAGAAAGAAGTAACGCCATTCTGAGTTATCGCGAAATCCGCTGGTTCTAGCGGGGAACAAGCTCCGCCCATTGGCCAAACTCTCCCAGTATAAACGACTCGGTTGATGATGATGATGCGGCTTTTCCCTTTATACCGGGCGAGCTCAAAGAGTCTTCGTGCCCTAGCCAAAAAAAAAAAAAAAAACTATAAGCTATCTGTTCTAAATTTTCTTCCACCAGTGTTCCAGTCGCGCTTTCGTCCTTCGCACGCACTGCATGGTAGAAATGTCATGCCTGTCTTGTGGAGGGTCGTCTGCTTCGCCCGTGTAGGGGTTGTTTGAGTCAGCCGTCGTTTTAAAGCCCAGTGCATATGCTAGCATCGCCTCTGAGTGAAGCCGGCGATCTACCAGTGGGGTTGGCGGCAGGCACTCACAGTAGAGCACTAGGTGTTCAACTGTCTCAGGTTCTTCTCTGCACGCGCGGCACATCGTGAAAACCACCTTGGGGTCAAACCGCTCCCGGTATACCAGAGTTCGTAGAGCGCCCGCTCGCGCCTCGAACAGAAGGCGGCTGCCCAAGCTGTTGTCATAGAGCAGGGTCATAGAGTCATAGAGCGCGCCATCTAGTGGCTGCTACGCCAACTATCCGAGTCCGTCATTGTTTTGGGCCTGTATTGCACACGATCGAGGTCCGCGTCATCGTTCGGCGCGGACTCGTACCCGGTCGGACGCTTCGTGTCCAAGAGATGGTTGCCGCCAATGTTGCTTGATGGGATTTCGAAAAAGGGTCTATTGAAAATTACGGCAATGTACCCAGCGCGACACTGTTAGCGCAAACATGCAACCACTCGTTTTTGTTTTTTTTTAATTTGGGAATTGATACATTGTCATTCGAACTACTATAGTTACTAAGAACTTCAGAAATACATAGCCAGCTTATTATGCTCGCGCTTCTTGCTTCGTGATTCCTTTTTCGGCGCTTTTATCAACTGATGCCGCGTTCTGATTGGGTACGTAAAAATATTAAGGTGCTCCCGGCTCATCACAAGTTGTCATTGATTGTGGTGTAATGGCAGTTGCTCATTTTTGGCACTAACTGGAGCTGTAAAATACAATGCTCGACTCTATCTTTCAGCAATAAAATTTAAAAAAAAAAGCGCCACTATCGTGTTCGCGCTAACAGTGGCGCTCGGTGTATGACGGATCTGACTCGTCAAGCGAAAGATCGCCACCCGTACTACAAATTCACGGGGAATAACCTACTTCCATAAATCTCTTACCGCGCGCGTTGCATTCTGGGAACCTGTTGGCCAGGAGCGGAGAGCGTGTGGGTCTTTGCTTCCCACTGATTCCCACAATGCATTACGTGGAATTACGCCGCGATAAGGCGAGTCGAGTTTCGGAATAAGTCTATACCCTCGGTGCATAAAAAGCTGTTTTTCAGCGCTTTTTTTTTTCGTTACCATCTTTTTGGGAGCGCAAGCCAGGGCTCGCATTCATTTACCGCACTAATGGCGCGAGCATAGAGCGCTTTTGTATCGCACCGAATTCCCCGAGGGAATAATACGGGGAAGGCGAGCGCGCGGCGCGCAGACCTACATTCTCAGCATTCTTTTTTATGGTAATTTAGCAATAGGGAGTAATCACTGGACGCCATGCTTGTGGGTGCTGTTTAGAGCGCATGCTCAGAACGTGCTCACATCAATAGGCTGCTAAGACCGGCACTCTTGATGGTGGGAAATGCACGTTGCAAAAGAACTCTAGAAGCTCGCCGTCAGCACGCGCTCAGCATTCGCGCACACAGCTATGGCCTCCAGCGAATACTCATTATAGGTCTGTTCCACGTGATATTCACTTACTAAGGAAGTCGAGATGTTCCCGCCAGTGAGGCGCCAAGATGACCTTCTGTACTTGTTAACTAAGCAGCAGCCGCACTGCTCACCCATGGTATGCAATAGATACGATCCGCAGACACGATGACAGAAGCACCTGCGGACACGTTTCAAGTATGTTTATGGGGCCTGGAAGGCGTCTCCGACTGGTGTGTTTACCGCGTCCAAGAAAGGGATACCTCGATTTCCGCCTGGGGACGTCATACAAGTGTCGTACTGTCACCAGTCGCGACCCTGGCGGCGTCAGACCAGTTGTGGTTTATCTGGCAGACGCCTGTTCTGCTGCATGTCGCTGTCCAGTAGGACAGTTCACGAAAGCTTTGGGAGCCAAAAGTTGGAATGCCGTGACGACAGCGACACTCACGTTCGCTTTTGCTACTCGCAGCCTCCTTGTTAGCATTTCTAGGGCCAACCGCC